GGGCCACTGGCCAGTGCCCGGAAACTGCTACTGCCTGGGAGGGCAGTTTAACAGCCGGCTGTTTAGATCCTAAAAGGGCCACTACCAGGCTTCTCAACTATTTCCCTACCAGACTAGCAAGTATGTTCCAGAAAAGATAGTGCCTGTCCAAACAATAGGGGCATAGTGAAAGTTCCGCCTCTCATCAACAAGATTGCTAATCCTGTCTCTTGAGTAGAAGACATCCCCCCAGAATGTGTCCATTCCTGTGTTCTTTATGGATATTTATGGCGCATCTCTACATTCAGTCTACTGTGGACACTACTGTGAATCACTACGAGGAGGAAAAGGCTACGTCACCTGTGGCGAATCTGTCTCCACCTCCGATCCGGATCTGCGATTATGCCAAGCTGCTGAAGTCTGGTCCAGGAAACATGTCGCCTCAAGAAACGACAAAAGAACTTTACCTGGAAAGCAGATAGACAGCAAACGGAAACGATGGAAAGCGTGCTTCAACCCAGGGCGGCAGAAGAAACCTCTGCCATTCTTTTGACAAGCCTGGCCAACCTCTTTCGTGCAAATCCAGACTTGTCGAACCCTTCCCAGCGTGCCGTCTTCTCCAGTCTCATCTACCGCTGAAACAGGCCTAGGCCATAGCAAGAAGTCGCTGAAAAAATCTAAACAGCGAGTAACCCGCAAATTGGTCAGCACATGCTGCAAGCCAACAACTTCATTGCAAGTGCAACAGTCTCGTTGTTTGTGCAAATGCGCATGGCGGGGTCCCCTCTTTGGAAGGCTTGCTAGGTTTGAACGGTTTGGCACACAAAAAACTTTTTGTCAGGAAGATGAGAGACACACTTAGCTTAGTTTAGCTAAGCACCCCAAGCTTAGCTTAGCCTTCGGCGATGAGCAACTCTTGGCTTCACGTGCAGAGAGTGGCATCGGGGGTTGCCAAGAGTTCGGCCTCGCGGCGGAAAAAGAGTACACCACTTCCAGGCTTCGGGTCGGACTTTTTTGGCGGGAGGACGCCTGTGGCCCTGCCTCCCCACTTAATTATAGAACATTATATAAAAGTAGGCGCCTACTTAATTAAGTGTACTTAAGCTACAACAAATGGGCGCAGGATAGATCACGCTTCTTCAAGGAAGCTTCCCCCACCCCTAAAGGCGGCGGGGGGAGCTTCCCTGAAGAAGCGCTCCCAGCAATGACTTGGTTCCTAGAATTTCAGAGAAACTTTATTTCCTCCGAGCAGCACAGGCGGCAAAGCCGCTTCGGGTTTCAGGCATTTGGCACTACCTGGGACTTCAGGAACAGCTACAAGCTACTACACCCCTGGAGCCCGCTGTGTGCTGTCTCGATGTCTCTTGCCAAAGCACTACTGGACTCGAAGACAGGAGAAGTGACCAAAAGGCTCTGTGAGGAGGTGGGCAAGGACGCTTGCGATGCCTCGTCATGATCGAGTGAGACTGTGGCGGAGTGACACGGAGCTTGCCCTCTTGGCCTCTCTAAGGAGCGTTGGAGGCCATCGCTAATAGGTTGGAGGCCATGGCTATTAGGCACCAGGCACTTCGATGGAGAAGGCCACGGATCCTGGAAGCAAAAGCTCGAAACTGTCATAAGTCATAAGCAATAATGGGCACAACGGGTCTTCCAGCCTCTCGTTCTCTTGTCTGGCCTCCAAACATGTCGACTTCGGACCAAATTCCGATGCCGAAGCAACTTGAATACAACTCTTTTGGCCTCTACCAGCTCGCTTTGCAACCGAATGTTCTCTTGTAAAAGCTCCTGGCAGGTAGTCCAACACTACAGTGTTTGACCCAAGAATGATCTCATTTGACTTAAGATGATCCAAGCACAGCCACTTCCTCATTTCGCTTCTCGAGCTCTTTACACCTCGAGGAGAGGTTCTCACACAGTTCTTTTTAGTGTTAACCGCTGTGCCTGATTCTCATCTCTTCAGGGCATCGCTACTAGGAACAAGTGCATCGCTTCTAGTAACAAGTGCCTTACTAGTAGTAACAAGAAGCTATTATAATTTAATAGAAGCTATTGGAAGCTTCTCACACATCACTCATTTTACCGGTGTTAACCGCTGTGCCTGATTCTCATCTCTTCAGGGTCCTGAGAATCGCCGTTCACCTCAGACCACTTCGCGCATCGGGCATCGCCATTCAGGATGCCCGCTCGACTCGACCCTGCCTGAGACCTAGCACTGCAATGTGCCTTGGCCCGTTAGTTCAACGTCAAAACAAGTGAGCTACAGATTGCAGATGTGATAAAGAGTGGATAAATTCAGACAACCTTTCTGAAAGCCTGCAAAGTCTCGCTCGCAGTATTGAGAAGTACTGGGAACTTCTCATTCCTTTTTTTGCTTCGTATCACCCCAGATGAGCTTTGGTGGGCTCTTCGTAGCGCCAGTGGTAGTTAAAACTCACACTAATTCGTTCGTTGTCGCCAGTATTTGGGGGGCACTGTGTGACGTTGCCAGCTTTCAAACAACACGACAAACCCTGCAATTGCCGGGCATTCGATCACTTGTCTTTCTTGCTTTGCAACTGTCCTGGTCGCACACGGACAATTTCGCTGAAAAGAGCAAGGTTCACTCTATGTATATAACAACTATGTACCAAATCAAAAAATGATTGAAGTACTGAAACGGTTCAAACCCAAACTGCACTTTCTTCAATCCCTGCCTGTCCAAGCGTGGATCTTCAAACAGCAGACTTGAACACTTTTTGGGCGTTTGCACGTAGTAGGTGCCACTGATCGTTGATCGATTGTGCTGATGAAAGGTGTGCTCAGTGCCCTCCCCCATCACATTCGCCCAACAATCCGTCATAAACAGCTCAGGCCCATTGATGAGCCTGGTTTCCTCAAAACCAAGCAACGAACAGAATCGCGACTCCAGACTTTGGGGATGGAAACCACATGTGGAAGCACCCACATGACTCGTTCTCACAAAGCCTACATCAAAAAGAGAATGTTTGCGGATAGTAGGAGGGTGAAGGATGGTGCGTATAAGTTGGCGTGCATGAGTTGGTGAGTGTAAGTTGGTTGGTGAGTGGTGAGTTGGTGAGTCACCAGCGACACCCCGCGTTTACACATGCATGTTTCCCACTCCCCCACTGCATGGGCCGCGCAAACGCATTTTCCACAGAGAGCGCGCCAAGCTGCATGGCACAAACAGCAGGGACCCGCAGCAACAGCAAACCCTCTACAGAACCGCAAAACGCAGCAGAGAGCGGCGGCGACCAAGGGCAACCAGGGAAACCACTTGCCAGGTGTGAGTTGGGGTGGGTGTGTGTGTGTGTGTCACCCCCAGTTTCTAAGGGAAGTTGTTTGAGCATGCAGGGGGGGCAACAGCCAGTCTTCCCACGTTGCCCAACGAAGCTACGGAGGACTGGTGGAAGCATTCACGGACGCCTGAAGTTGCACCTGCATCTGGATTCTCAAGCCTACTATCTATAGAGCGAGTCTTATCTCTCGCTCGCGAACTGGAGGCAAAGTTCGTCGGCAGACTTGTCTGTCGGTTCTTACCCTGACAGGAGGCTCTTTGTTTCTTGTCTAACTTACCTAGCGTGATTCATCTGTCTCGCTCGCCCTGTGGAACTACGTTTAATTCTCCCTACTGCATCGGTGGCTTGTCCATCACAGATTGGCAATTTGCACTGAACCTACGTAAGGGCAAAGCTGTCTAATTCGGTGTTTCGCAGTAAAGTTCTAATGTACTCGTCTAATGCAGCAAGTAGAGGGCTAATCCATCGGCGATTCAGTCTCTGAAGAAATGCTCATTCAGTTGAGCTATCAATCTAAATGTGTTGGTGTGCTTAAGCGGTGGGAGGAGGAGGAGGAGGAGGACGGGGATGTCCCCAGAAAAAGTAAGAAAGAACCCCACACTTAGTACGTGGGGAAAAATAGAAACGTTCTAAGCCTTATTCTGGCAGGCATCTTTTCTAAACTCTTCTATGTGAGGCTTCAACCACTCCTCCAGGGTTTGGATAGGTGGCACCCACTTTTGCAGTGCTGGCAAGCTAAAGTATGAAGTATAACCACCTGCATAGTGCGTCTTTGACCACTCGATACCCTTCTCATCCCGTGCCATTAAGCGCTTGAAGTTAAGCGCAATATCTTCGTTCAGCGCTTTGAGCTCATCCACATCTGGCCGAAGTCGCTTTCGATAGATTGATGAAGGGAAGAGTCGCAGCACCCCTTCCCGAGCTTCCATCGATGTCTCCATGTCATACGCATCTCTCAACTGGCCATCTGGAAGAACTCCTCCTGGCCCAGCATTCACTGAACATCTCGATCTCGCCCGGAGTAGCTGAAAGGCAGATCTTGCCTTTGAAGACTGTACAAGATCTGAAAAGCATTTGAAGCTGAAGAGCTTCACAAAACTACAGATGATTAGACAGAGCACAACCTTCCTTCTCATGGCACGCTGAAAGTAGAGGTGCAAATAATATGCTAAAAGATAGATGCTGAAAGGTGTCTAAAGCCCAATATATGTTCAAGGTGTATATATATATATACAGTAATGCAAAGAAAGCCTCCAATGTTTGGGTTGTTACAACATCTTGCAACCCTTGAACTTCATGTGCTAGATTAATCATGAGCTTGAGCTCAGCAGCCTTCAGCGATGGACACTGGAATGGGACTGATCCAAAATGGTCGCTCACTCAACTCTGGGACGTTGGGGGTCTCCTTAGGGATCCGGCCTGTGCATGTGGCGGTGGATTTGCATGGCCTGGCTCTTTACAGAGATATACTATCTGTTGCCCACAGTGGCTGTGGAATCTCGCTGGTACTCTGCCCTGATAGTTCAACTGCACTGACAGACAAACTCAGCAGCCTTTGCCCTGCACAGCTGGCGGAGCCTGAAAACTGACAAGAAATCTCTGCGAGACTCTGGCTGCATATCCATTTGTACAAGTATCCTGAGATCCACGACTAAAAGGCTGCAATTGCAAGACTAGACTAGTGACTAGTGCTAAAAAGACTCTCTTGAAGATTGCCAGCAAGCATTGTCTTTTCTCTAGAGCATTGAGGAATGATCACTGGTGAGACTTGTCGGGACAAGGAATGCATTGGGGTGATACAGAAAACTGGCATGCATGAGCATTTGCCCGAATCTGCATCTTCCGTCTTTTTGGAAGAGCTGTGATACTGTTTCTAAATTTCGCATTTCCCACGGTTCAGTCCCGGATCTGAAAAGATTCGTGCTCCTCTAATCACTGAGCAGCGACTGTGGAGAAGGCCATGGTGGTGTTGCCGGCCCATTCCGAGCCTTCCGCATGAACGGTCGCTTCTTGCGATTCATCGAGCTCAGCCTCTGCCAAGCCCAGGACATTATGTGCAAAGTCCAAGGCATCCACCTCTTCATCTAAGACTCTGTTGATGGAAGAGTCTCCGACCAAAGCCTCGAAACATTGCTCAAGCTCCTCGAGACTGGTCTTCTCACCATGACTAGTCAGCAAATTCAGGAAGGCTTCCCGTGAAAGTGGTCCAGGCTCATGTCTCTTGAGGGCATCAAAAGCCTGCTTGATTTGCTCAGGACCAACAGCAAAGACTGGCCTATGGTTCACATAGAGCTTCACCAGGTCGTCAAAGCCAATCCTGTCGACATACTCACTGGTCTCGGCAAACTTGGAGTACTTCACCTCATTGGTCATGTTGGTGATCTCCAATTGTGTCGGAAAGTATCCCAATGCACACATGAGGTGAGGGATTTCTTCCACAGGAATCATGCCATCCAAGACTCGAGCCTTGGTGGTGTTTTCATCTTGGGACCTAATTTGTGAGTAGTAGAAGTAGTCCTTCATGTCACAGAAGAAAGCCCCATCCTCTCCACCATCAAGAAGCTTCACAAAGGGCTCGATGCCCGCTCCGCCCATTACACTGGCATTTGCAACCGGCTGGGGATCAATCTTCCATTGGTTCACCGTCAAATCACTCCCTCCGCAAGTGAAGGCATATTGACCCTGGTAGTCCACGGAGATGGCTGCGATCTGTCCGGGGTGGGCAATCAAGCCCATGCACTTGTTTGGATTTCCATCAAGAGGAAGTTGTACCAAGCCCAGAACCTTCTCATGTGTGGCATATAGCATGAACTGCTCCTCACCATCAGCTTCTGCGTACACAGGGGTCATCCTTGTGATGGGCCCTCCATAGGTTGGCGCAAGTGCTGTTTTCCGGCAAGATCGATTCACTGTGTTCCAAATTTTGAATTTGTACTCATCGTTCATGGTCAGAACTTTCTGGTTGTCTCCTTTGCCACCACAGTAAGGGTACCACATGCAGCCGGTGGGACGAGCCTCCTGCTCCACGACTGTATCTGGTTGAACAACCTGCAAGCCACCAAACTCTGAACTCTTGACACTGTACTCTACAAGTCGTCGGTCTTCACCGACTGAAAATAGTCTCTGCTGTTTTCCTGGCTCTGGAACGGCGAAGCAAAGCCCCACAATGGGCCGCCAATGGGACTTGTGCTTTGCAGAATACATCCACTCCATGGGGAAGTTCTTGTCATTCGGCCGGTGCGCATACCGGTACAAGCACAAGGATCTGTCGGCATGAGCCAGTGCAAGGTGGTTGGAGTCTGAGCTGAAGGCAATATGGGTCACACAATCTCTGGAGTCTCTAAAGGAAACGACTTCAGAGAGATCTGTGGACTTCAACAGCTTGCAGTGGCCATTTGTGAAGCCAACTGCTAGCAGCTTGCCATCAGGAGAGAACTGAAGGATGTGGGGCACAAGCTTCTCGAAAATCTTCACCAAATGCAAAGATCTCGTGTTGTAGTTCCACATGTGAAGAAATCCTGAGTAGCCACAAACTGCCACCAAAGGAAGCTGCGGATGGCAGCACAGGCCGTGCACAGGTGAGTCCAGACCTTGCAACACAAGCCTGCCCCGACGGTTCTCTGGGGAGAGCTCATAGAAAAGCTTGGACTCGACCATCACCACAAGAGCAGAGGCTGTGCTAACAAGGAAGTTTGGGCATTTGAAATCATCTTCAACACCAACCCCTGTGCTAATACCCTGCTCAAACTCTTCATCCTCATTGGCCCTTTCAAATGAGATAGACTTCACGGCACCAGCTAGGAGGTCTTCGAACCATGCTTGCACCCGGAACTGATAGTCGTAGAAACGCACAGCCCCATCGCCAGTGCCAATGACTACACGAGCTTTCTCATGAACCTGGAGGACATTCAAGGAGATGTCTGGACAAAGCTTGATGATCTTCACTGCCCTTCGCTCATCAGGTCTGCTAAGGCCATCCACAATGAGGGACAGGTCCCAAATCACCACATCCCCATCGATGGTACCAGTGGCCGCCTGTGTGGAGTCGGGCAGGAAAATGGTCTGGGTGTAATCTCCAATGCGCTGCTTGAAGTCCCGCGGAGCCAAGGCTGGGGAGTAGAACTGGAAGGGCTGCTCCACGTCCCAAGTCCAAAAGAATACTCGGCGTTTGCCATTGGTTGCTATCTCATGCGTATCCCAGGCGTTGAAGAGGACGCAGGTCTGGACATCCTGTGTGCCTACTGCTGCCGTGCAAATTGGCCCATCATTGTCTGATGGCCAATCCCAAACTGAGATCGTTTGGTAGTCCTGCTCTCCCTCTTTCTGGCCCTTCTCAGCACGGCTCTGCTCAACTTGGGATGCAGATGCAAGAGGATCCGAAGTAGGGGTTGGCGCGGCCAAAGTCACCAAATATTGCAACTTTGGTGCAATGTCAAGCGCATGGACACCATAGGGATGAGGATTGAAGAAGGTCTTCACAGGAGTGCCGGACTCGCGTTCCCACACCACCATCATACTATCTGGGCCAGTGTCGGCAGTCACAATCCACTTTTTGTCTTTCGAGACCCCTGTCGCTGAGATTGGATTTACATGCCCCTGCAAGAGCCGTTGTACCCCGGTGTTGTAGTCGAAAATCACACCCGTGTGAGCAGCTGCATAGAACATATCGGATGTCTCGGCGTCCGAAAGGTTGTGCACACCTGCAACCACATCCTTGTTGATGCCAAGTGTCCAATGCAGCGTGAGCGCCTGTGGCTCGCTACTCGAAGTACTATTGGGCATAAATTTGGAGGGGTCATTCTCCGATTCCATGGCGGCCACAAATCCTATCCTTGAGTGATCCGTCTGCAGAATCAGGCAAAACGTCTGTCGAATGTGGCACCTACAACAAAACACGGTTGCGATCGTCAAAAGAATTCAGCCAAACCATGGGAGCAATGCAACAAAGCAATGAGTGAGGACGTACGAGCTTTGCAACAATGCTATTCAACTTGGCCTTGCGGCTCTGCTCGAAGTGCTCTTTCCAAGCTGCCTGCAAGTCATTAGTAGCATACTCTCAGGAGTCTTTGTGTCACCTCACGTAGATCAGGCTCTCTCTCTCTCTCTAAAAACGGCAAACATTGTTTGGCACAATCCGTCCACCTCTTGTTTGAGATGACGTTAATGCATTGCCTGTTCTCTTGCTATTGGGTCCAGAACGGCATGACCCAACCCTAGTCAAACGATCATTTCACAAGCTCAACATAGCTCAACCCTTTGACATCTGCACCTCCAGGGTGGGGGCATTGCGACCAATCCTCCGGTTGGTAATCTGCGGTGGTGAGCCAGGTCTCACCTTCCAGGCTGACAAGTTATTTTTTCTTTGGCCCCTGGGGCCGTGGTATATAGGCTTAAGTAGTTAGTAGTAAGGGGTAGCTATATGCTCAGCTCAAGAAGGGCTCAGGCTTGATTGATTCTGTTCCTAGATGTTTGAGAAAACTTATATAACTGTTCTTTTACATCTTGGCTTCCGAGTTCTGTTCCCTTCACTGATTCAGCCGCAGAACGAATATCAGGAGGTGAAGACCTTGAGTCCAACAACAAAACCCCTCATACTGACCACCTCTCTCCAGCCTCCCACCCACCAGGAGGTACATGCCGAATGTTGGTACCAACCATGTGCAGCGTCGGGTCGTCCCGCCTTTAGACAAGCAAATAAAATCATTGCAAAAGGCCCTTCAGAGAGAGGAGAAACCGCGAACATGGAGTACACATTGCTGGCCCAAGTCACTTCACGCGTACATGTCGGTTGGTGGAGTCAGAAAAGGCAATCAGGAAGAAACCGGGCTCCTAAGACAAGACTTTGAGACATGGTCTAGAAATGTTCACATGGCGATCAAACTTCTAGACCACCTTGATGGGGCTTCCCTCTCCAAAAAGTCACAGCATCCGACGCTACGCTTTTTTTCCGCGGCAGGACGAACTTTGGCCGAGTGTGAAGCCCTTCGAGTCTGGGAAGCCCATCCGGTGCGAATGGAGAAAACCAGAAATGCTCAAAAGCCTCGTTGGCAACCAAACCAAATGTTTGAAGGGCCAGTTGCTCCAATTTCATTCAACATTTCCAGCTGCTCCGGCTCTGGGTGCGACCTCACTTCGCTTCAAGGCCAGTAGCCTCCTCCAGCTTAGCTCTTTGGAAAGTCGAATCCCTGGCACAAACAAACATGCTACAAAAAAAATAACGAGAAATTCATGCTCTCCAGTGTGTTCCAATGTTCCATGTTGCAACAGCATCAAAGTTGAATCAAAGGGTCCAAATGAAGCCACTGGAAAACAGAGCATCAATCGAAATGTTGAAATAAAACAAAGCCTTTAAGCGTCATTCACAGCCTGCTGATCCCGGACTCCCTCCAGCGTCCAGGGCCAAGACGTGGCAAGAAGTGTTTTGTGCGGGTGCCTGAGGTAAACAGATCCAAGCGAGGTGAAAGGAAACAGAAACAGAAAGGAAGAATGTGGAAACAACTGCGTGCATCATGTCCACATGCGAACACAAGCTCTGTTTCGCTGGCATTAAACCCTTGGGCGAAACTCAGATTCTTTCATTGAGCGGACGACTCACTTCACCCTGGTGGATTAAATCTACGTGAAAAGCAGGGAGAAACCATTGCCCCTGCATTGTCACGGGGTGAATTGTGCAGGTGATACGAATCTTGCCTCTATGCTGCACGATCAGCAGTGTACTGCAAAACGTCTTTGTAGAATTGTATGGCTTCGTCGGAGGATTTGGACCACTTGAAATTGGCCTCGGCATTCTTACGAGCTTCCACCTTCATCTTCTCCAGCTGCGGGATCACCTCCTTAATGGCTCTCTTTGCATCCTTCATGTCCAAAGGTGTGTACAGGCATCCATTCACACCCTCCGTAACAACCAAAGGTACAGCTACGGCCCTCGGGCCCACCACAGCAATCCCTGCTGCCTGTGACTCAATAAAGACCAGGTCCAAAGTGCCGGTCACAGTGGGCGAAAAGAAGATGTCGGAGGAAGCGACCAGCGAGGCCAACTTTTCGCCGGTCACCACACCTGGCATATTCACGTCCGGTCGATGTCCAATCTCCTGGTGTATCGACTCCCATGAATCACCATGCCCAATGATGGCAAAGCGGCACAGCTCCGGTGCACCTGGACCAACGAGAGAACGACAAGAAAGCGAAGAAGCTCCGGTTCTTTCTTTAAGCCCGAGGGGGTAGGCCGCTAGAGGTAGGAAGTAGCTAGGTAGGTAGCTAGTAGAAGCTAGGTAGCTAGTACCCACAAGTAGCTACTAGTGTGGACGCAGGATAGCTCACGCTTGCACTTATGATTTGGTTCCTAGATTTTTGGGGAAGCGCAGCTTAACATTAAAAATAGAGCTTCGCAAATGAAGAGACCCCCTAAGAAATCAAGACATGGGGGCAGAAACAGTTTGAAGCTCGCCACCTGGCGGATTTGCTTCTTTCACCAGGTCTGCGATCTTGTCCACCTGCTTCTCAGGCGACATGCGCCCAACGAAGACGACCAAGGGTAGGTCTGGCCGTCCATTGCTGAAGCTTTCTCTAACACTTGCATCCTTCTTGGAGGGATGGAAAAAGTCCAAGTCGCAACCGGTCGACCAGAAGCGAATGTTCGAATGACCTGCAAACCAGGATTGGTCCTTCTGATTGCCATCAATCAGCAAATGTCCTGTCACGAGTGGAAAAACCACTTCGCAAGCAGCCCGCATGACCTGAGGGGCATAGTCTCCAATGATGCCTGGCACGTAGGTGGCATAGAGGTCTATTCTCGAATGATGAGAAATGACCACTGGCAAGCCGAGCCACCAAAGGAAGGGGACGAGGAAGAATGCGGCAGGTGTAAAGTCGAAGAACTGGATGATGTGCGGATTGAATCGCATCAAAGCCATCAGAAAGTGAGGAGATGGAAGTGTGATTTTGTGCTTCGGCTGAATCTCCACACCCGGTCCACGTGTCACCGTGGCTCCATAGTTTTCTGGAGCGAAAGGTGTTTCGGGACTGCCATTGCTGCAAAACACATGAACCTTGTGACCGTCACGGACAAGAGCCTGGATGGTATTCCTGGCAAAGTTCTGCACACCATCAAGCTTGGGAGGGAAGGAATCCCCTGTGAGCAAGACTCTCATCGGACCCCCAGATTTCGAGGAGACATAGTGGCCGGCCCAACAAGAGTAAAGAAGACACCACCTCAGGCCCTTCACGGACAACACGCAGAGGCTTGCACAATAAAGTGCTGTAGGACCACCAAAGGGCAACAAGCTAGCAAGGGCGAGAATTGGTGTCACGGTAAATTTCCATTGAGCAACCAGACGGATCTTCCATTTCCCTGTCCCCTTCTCAGCTTGTCGGCCTTCTTCTAAAGCCTTCTCTGCCATGGATGCTGTGAAAAGGCCAAAGGATGCCACCAGGACGCTCACTGCCATGTGAAGTGCTGAGATGTTGCCACGGGTGTTCATGTAGTAGATGGCAATCATGATGAGTCCATAGACGGTCCCAAAGGCGGTCAAAATCACTAAGGGTGGAGCATAGAGTTGGCCAATCTGTGGGACCATACTGAGAATGACCACTCCAATCCAAAGCACCGGGTAGAAGATTGCTGACAAACACCCGAAGAGGCTCATCAGTCCAAGACACCTCAACAAAGGTGACTTAAGGCAACAAGGTAGAAAAATGAATGTCAAAAGAAGTCAGTTGGGTCACAGCTGAATGTCTTTGAATGCCACAAGTCAGCTACATGATGTCCTTCAACCAGGTTCCTTCGCTTTACTTGTCTTTAGTTCTTCAGACCATTCGTTTGAATTCGAACCTTTGACCATCGTATTTGTTTAAAAAAGAAAAAGAAAGATCGTATCCCCACCTCAGGGAGAACCACATGTCATAGGGCCGCGTCGTCATCGCCATCTCGGCCCTCAGCCTCTCCTCCATCCGAGCCATTGATCCTTTCCACATCGCGCCCTCGATCGCGGTGCCGGCAAATGGCCAGGTACCGCAAGGATGGCTTACTCTAATGTGCGCCAACTTGGTCTGCGAATACAGCTGGGGAACCTGGATAGAAAGGCTTGGGGGGGTGAAAAGTTGAGGGTGAGCTGCACAAATGTTCTAGATGATCTGCATTGAAAATGTGCTTCGACCGAAGGCACTGCACAGCTTCTTTGAGTTAAAAGTAGCCAAGAGTGCGACGTCCAAAACAGTTCTGCAAAGCATCGAAACAAAGATCGCCAGGCGCAAATGCATCAGGTTCTGATGAATTCTGAGGTGGTTGCCATTCTCCAGCTCATCTTGCAGCTTTAGGGCTCTTTCCAGACCTGGAATCACAAAATCCGGGAGAAAAGATCGTCTTTGGTGCTTCTTTCAAGGAAAGTCGGCACTAGTTGGCTGTGAAAATAGAAATGCACACACGACCATTCCCACAACAGGATGGACTATGGATTGTGCTACCATTGATAGTAGGAATGGATGTTAAACAAGAACACATGTGTCCCGCATGCCTTCGAGACAAGCTCTCAAACTCACGTCTTCCTGAAGAGAACAGGTCTACAGCAAAGTCAGACCAGTAATGACAAGAAAGCTTACAGCACTGCACTACACATGTTTCACATCTGTTATGTTATTCAAACAGCAAGTCCCCAAACCAGAGGTCTCCTAAGCTATCGTACGACCTAAAAGCAGGTCTCCTCATAGCCATCAAATTTGATGACCCACAGACACCTGTGCGTGGTTTCACAGTCCTTTTCTAGGATAGAAACTTCCAAATAAGACATGCCAAAATAGTATTTTCGGACAGCAGTCAGCTGTGCAGCCTGCAATTAAGTCTGGTTGGACGAGAATGTTCACAACAGGCTCAGATAACTCTGGAGACAAATACAATGATGCAACTACTTCGCACCTGGTGTCATCATCTACCGGAGAGCAATCCACTTTGATGGCCACTAGGTCTTCAAGCAGCCTGACAGAAGGTCAAAGACTTGACTCTTACCGAAGGGCTCAACGCTGAACAGCACAGTCTTCAACTCGGGTTCCTTTGGAAAGAAAATAACGGATTTTGTGCAGGTGACTGCAGCGCTGTCACTACTGTCACAGTCCTCATTCTTCCAAGGAACAAAGGCAGAAATAAGACATGAAAAGGCGTGTTTTGTGATGAAGCGGACTCTGACTCTGGACTGATAAGCACAGGGATCGAAGTTTCAGGTCTTGCCTAAGCCATAAGAGATCGAAAGTATGCAGTATGCTGCCTTACAGGGCTGTCCCAAGACGCCGAAGTGCCTGTCACCCTCTGGATGGAAGCTGAGCAGAGTCTTCATGGCATCTTCATCATCCTCGAATCGAAGGTGCATTCCAGGCTCCTGCCATGCATGGTCAAGCAATACTCATCTGTTCTGGCCATCTCTGAGGGTCTCCTGCTCCAGCACGATGTCTACCACTGTATTTTGCAGAGTTGCAAGAGACGAATACCTTCAAGGCACACTGAGGGGAAGCAAGTTTGTTCAGCCATACCTTTGGTCCGACATACTTGCCAAAGCTACCTGAGTGCTGGCCTCCGCCCAGCCAGGAGGATTGCTTCGCTCTTGGGACGCTCTTCAAGCACCTCAGGAGAGAACCTCTGAAAATTCCAAAAGAACCACTCCCCATCCCCCGTTCACGAAACCATTCAGGTTCACAAACCGAAAGCGGGGATCCCCCAGTCCAAACCGAGATCGCAGCTGCTAAGGCAGAGCTGGGAGACATCAAGTCCGAAGCCTCAAATCCACGGGTGAAAAAATGGGCAAGGCCCACTGTGTTTCCTTTGGGAAGCAATGGACCTTTAGAGATGTTATTCACATCGCTACTTCAAAAAATAAGAAGTGGCACCTGAGCTTGAGGGTCGGACTACATCAGGAATGTCTGTAGGATTGTCACGATTTAGGTCGAAGAGAGCCTGAAGTTCCAGGTACTCGTTGTATATGCAATATTGATGGGCCACAGCGCCAAGTCTGAGCAAGGTGCATATTGTTCGCCAGGGCTAGGTCCAATTAAAGACCTGGTTGTCCACTTGAGGCTTGTCACAAATAGAACATCCATAGCATGCCTTGATGTATTGGGACTCATATCTCTTCCTCCAGGGCAACGGCTGTGGGAGCAAGGGCGCGCCTCAAACAAGAAGCTGGCTTTTGACTCTCTTATCTGGAAACACTGCGACTTTACCACTTGAATATGATGATGTCCTAAGCATCTTCATTGGAAGGAAACTGACGTGGAGTGAGGCTTGCCTTCGGCAGCCTCCAAGGCTCCTTCTTCATCAGCAGCTTCGCCCTTTGCAGAAGAGCTTTCGTCGGCTTTCGTCAACTTGGGTTTGCAAGCTTCCAGCTTAAGACAATGTGGGTGTCGACCAAAAGAGGAAGCTTTTAAAGAAAGCTACCCTACTTGCCCGGCAAAATGAAAGCTCAGGTCAGGGGTGTCAAAAAGAGGCCACAAGTCATGGAACCACAGGCTCGGAAGGTTGGCTCAGGCCTCAAGGCGAGCTGGACCAGGATCCTCAAGCACCTCAAAACCGCATGAGGACACGTTCCTCGAGCACCAATGTCCTGTTTGGAACTCATCGTCGCTCACCTGGTGGGTGTATGGCCAGCCAGGAGGCATCTCATATACCTAACGCAAGGAAGTAGGCAGACTTCGGACATTGCAGAGTCAAAGGATACAGTAAGTGCTTGGCCTCGGGTCTGTTGACAAAACGCATGACGAGGCCAAGGTCGGATTCACTCAACCACACCTGCACAGGGTGGTCGTGTCTGAATTACGTGTTCATTGCCACTTGGCAGACTCTCAGTTGTATACTGAGTGTTTGTCGTCTATTGTGCTATCCGCTGTATTTATTGCCTTGTTGAGACGGACTCATGGCGACAAAATTTCAGCAGTGGGCACCTCGATCGCTGTGGCAGCATTGCAAAGCACTGTTGGCAACACTGCTGCCTCTGCAGCTAGCAGCTCCTGAAGCGATAAAAGCTGGAAGCTCTCAGCAACTGACCGTTAAGTCCTCTTTCTGATAAATGTGCAGCTATAGACTCTTCGGAAAATGTCCATGACCGCCACACTGTGACAATTCACTACAGATGACTACAAATGACTACGGACCGCATTCTCTTTGGAGGTCTTTTTCTAAATCGTTGAGCCGCTCCTCGGATCGAGACCCTGCGCCGGCCCCAATGTAGAGGCAAGTGACGCGATTGCCAGGTCCTCGAAAACGTCAAATGTCTCAGAGCATGAAAATAGTTGATAAAAAGGCCCTCGACCCGGCCCCTGATCTAATCTTACCATCATTGTAGACTTATTTATAGGCTCCGTAGGTCACAACCATCTAAGTTAAGGGCCCAAAGCCGAGTATGCGGAGCGCAGCCATGGATTGGAGTTGTTGAAGGCATTTCCTGAGACTTTCAGTGCACACCATTCCCTTGCTCTGACCACCACACAGCTCTTTCGTGTTCACCCATTCTCTTGGTTTTCCACTCATGCGCAGCTGGCCAAATGGTAGGCTGGGATCGCTGAGGACAAAAAGCACCATGGCCTCGACCGAAGGCGCTCAGTTGTGTTAATAAAAGGGTGCGTCGAAAAAGATTCCCCCTGTTGATCAACTTAACACAGCTTTTTCCTGCGCAACGCCAGAAAGATGCACGAAAGCTGGAATGTGTTCTTCAGCCTTCCAGGGCTTTCCAGTCTGAAAAGGTCTTCATCGGAATGACACCACAGCTGGTTTCAGAGAAGTCTCTCCCGGCCCATGATGCCGATGGGATGCTCAACACCTCGTCATCTTGACGCTGCACCTCCTTTAGGGTGCAAGTTGCCCAATCGAGGAATCGCTACCTCAGAGCCGTCTCCTGGAAGTGAAGACCCAAGAGCTTCATCGTGGCCTGTGACAAGCTGGTGGTGATTAGCCTCATGAACACAAGAAATTTATTGCCAAGAAGACTTTAGTTAAACACCTCGACACCCTGTTGCAAATCTTCAAGTCTGAGATGTCCAACCAAGTCTGCGTGCAACATCTTACCTGATGCAACAACTCTATTGAGACAAAAAGGAACTGTAAACCAACTGCATTGGGACCACCTAAGCCTTCTGGCCTTGATTAAAAAGGCGAAGCAGACCTCGTATCAGTCAGCCAAACCCCATGCCAGCAGTGGAAGCTCTCTTGCCCGTGACCGCAGTTGGCAAACTGGACTCCTGGCCGCGATTGGGAAGTGCTGGCATTGAACAGAAACAAAATCACACCCACCTTTTCTCGTCGTGCGCGCTTGATCCGGATCTTCTCATCTGCCTTCTCCTTGCTCCACGAACGCTGCTGAGGCTGATGGGAAGTCTTGGTGCTAACAGGACAAATATTTCCTATGTTGAGTTTGCCAGGATGCCAGCTTCTCTCGCGCGTCTTGCAGAACTCGTTTTTTGCCTATCCTGCGCAGCACTAAATTTTGCCAAGTCGACAACGCTGCGTGGACGACAAGTACAACATCAAGTTTGAAGATCAAAGGTTTGAATCAAGTGCTGATCAGGACACCTGTAAGCAAGTGCTGCACGTTCACGCCCTTCAAGCTGCTGAACAACTTCCTCCACAAAGTCATTGACGAGATACTAAGTCCAAACACCGATTGGAAACATCTGTCCTCATCCTCGGTCAGGGTGGTCTCGTAGGATGCCAGCGCGCCCTATCACAGGATTCGTTTTCGAGCCCTGGGGGCTTTCAAATAAACAAATAAATGACAGATATGTTATGTTTGACCAACTCAATAACATCCCCAACAGCTGAGCATGATCTCTATTAAGCAATGGCAATGTCGCAAGTTCACCAACAAGCGGTGCCTTTTGCCAGAACGCTGCATTGAAACATGCGAGCATCACAACAAGGCATTGGCACATGTGCCCACATATGTGCCAGCATGACAACGCCGCAAGAAGCAACAGCCACGGAACTTGCTCCGGAGACCTCCTGGAGCCTGTCACGCTGATATGGTAGCATGGTGTCAGGCTGTCACGCTGACATGTTGCAACGGCTAACACGCTGACACGTTCTCACAGTGAGATGCTGAGATCGGGTACTGTCGTGCTCGCATGCGGGCAACCTGTTAGCATGTCTACACATCCGCGTGGCAGCCCAAAAACGCCGGCATGACACCATGTCAACCGGCGTGACAACACCTCAGCGTGTCAGCTTGACAACACATGCGTGCCAGTGCCAGAGTGCCAGCAAATACAGTAGATCATCATGACAGCGTACTTGCAAGTTAGCATGACAGAGTGGCAACATGTGAGACTGTCGACATCACAGAGCTCACACACCAGCATCGTAGCCTGAGGGAATGACAACAAACATGCTGACATGTCAGCATTACGCCTTGACAACGTCCTGCGAACCTCGCTCCGGAACATACTCCGGATGGAACCTCCTCCGGAATCTGACCTGCTCTGGAACCTGCCAAAGCTTGCTTGCTCCGGAACTTGCTCTGAAGCCTGGTCCGCAACTAGCTCTGGGACCTGCTCCGAAGGCTTTACTATGGCTAAGCTTCGCTGTTGGGGAAAAAAAGAGGAAAAAGAGAGGGAGAGAGAGAGAGATGGAAAAGCACGGTAAAGGGGCGTTAAGGCCCCTTCAAATGGCCACTACATCGAATTATCGCACCTCGACTGCTTGCTTCAACACCCACAATGCTCGGCGGCGGTGCGTCGCAGAGAGCCCTGCATTATGGCATTCTCTTCAGCGGAGAAGAAATACGACTGTGTACAATGCACAAAGAGAAGTCCGAAAGCTCTCTAGAATTACTCTGCACAGTTGCTGTGTATGTGATTATGCGGCCAACATGTAGCCTTCTAAGCCCGAATTGAGCATCTCTTCGTTTGACATCAGATTCCATTCCTTAGCTGCAATCGCATAAAGTGTTCGACAAGGCGACAAAGGCTGCTGCCATCCCATATGATGCAAAGGCGCAGCTCCAAGGACATCTTCTCGCGATTTTCCGCTCAGGACCCCTTGGTGTCCATGCCGGGTGGCATTGAATCAGCTTTCCAAAATAGCAACACGTGCTAAGAAATGTCCGAACCCTCTGATTCATGCTCCATCTTGGCACAGCGCTGGCCGCTGCAAGTAGTTTCGGATCGAAAGTCTTTATCAGCGTAGAACTCCTGGCATTGTGAGCTCAGACCAAAGAAGTGAAGCAAAGCGAAGCAAAGCGGAACAAAGCGAAGCTTAGCGATTCAAGACCACAGTGGGCCTGCGGACTTTGGCAGATGCTACCCAGTCCCCAGGCTTATTGTCAGGTGCAAGATCCATCACTTTGCCTTATAGATGTCTCAAGGAGCATGCGGAAAGCATGCGGAAAAATACAGCAAGAAGAAATCAGCACGGGCAGACAGAAGAATCCCATGTGGAAGGAACCAGGTCGAGGTCTGCGGATGTTCAGTTCCTGGTCTGATCTCGGTCAACCCCAGGCTCTTAGTCAAGCTACGAAGAGTTGACAGCTGCCAAGGCTGTACGACACCCTTCTTCAGGCCAACCTCAATTCGGGTGATACCGGGTCATACCTGTTTGCCGTGCACTTGCCATGCATTTGCCATGCATCGAAAACCATCTTTTGCTCAGGCCAAGTTGCATGAATTGTGACATCATCTGGCCTGAGCGTGCCAGTTGGTGGCAATAATATGTCCAGAAATGTCTTAGGAAATGGATGTCTAGGAATGTGTAAAACAACAGAGACACCTCACCGTAGATGTGTGCAAACAGAGCAAATGGCACCTTGTGGTGGACAAGCCGTGATCCAGCAACAAATCATCAGGAGGGATCTCCATCGGCCGGCAGAGTTTCTCGCCTGAAACCAATGAGTGACATGATATTGCAGGTGACTCAAAGCAATTGGAACAGTGTTGCCACATCAAAGATTTAATTTCAGGTAGCAGTTTGTCCCTTTCAAGTGCTGCCTTCCTTCAGGTCTCGAGAAGCAAGGAGAATGGCAATGTCTTTGCCGCCAGGCCCTGCGCATGGGACCCAAGGCTTCTAGAAAACAAAGAACCAAAAAATGTGAGGTTCCTAGGTGCAATGAGGCGGGGTTGAGCTTCGGATGCGCTCGGTACATGCATCTCCTTCCTGCGTTTATGAAGGAAAGTTGAATGGCGGTCAAAAGCCTTCTGGGACACCAAATCCTTTGAAAAGCAAAATCAGTATTTATGAATAAATACTATATATATATACATATATTATTCCTTTCTGCCACCTAGTGAAGGGAAGCTTCACAGGCCATTGGGAGGTCTTCGTCTAACCAGAAAGGCCTCAGGCTCCACTTGCAACTGAGGGATCTGCAGCGTATACTAATTAATAGCTTCTTGTTTCTAATAGCAAACATCGTTCCTAGTAGTACAGCCAGGAGCCCCTAGTAGCGTTTTGCTCCTAGTAGTAAGGCCCTTTGCTCCTATATAGTAGCGTTCTCTAAACGTGCGCGGCTTGACGCACCTCCTTTCCTTTCAATCTGTAGCTCGCAGTTGGACTCTGCCGGAGTGCCCGCCAGCACGGTGGCCTGACGCAGCGAGATTGATCCAAATGACCAAGAGTAGCCAGTGGTTCCTGTCTCTGCGAGCCTCAGGAGGCCCTACTAAGTCCAAAAGGGGCAGCAAAGCTCTTCTGCCAGGTCGCACCTGGTATGAAGTCTCAAAAAGTGTCCTTCCAAAATGCGCGGTTCTTGCTCCCCAAAGTCCTGCCTCTATGCCTCGTGAAGCTGCTGTAACGATCCCCTGCGCCACCTCAAAGTCAGATGGAGCAGGTACATCATCAAAAGCCTCAGCACTCCGGAACATCATCTCTTAGCAAAGCATTCGACTCATTTCAACTCACATGGCAGCCCAGCTGCTGGGACAACAACCTCTTTGTGAAAGTCTTGGATTGCCTGAGTCAAGAAGCAAGTCACTTCAGCTTGACAGCGCTGCAACCAGGCCTTGATACGAGATTGAAGTTTCTTCTTCATGATTGCATCTTGCCTTAAGCCACATGATGGGCATCGCGGCATCGTTTTTTTTTTTAATCAAAGGGAAACCCACTCTGACACAATGCTGCCCAGGAACAGCTGCTGCGCCTGTGGTGGGCTCCAAAAAAGGGCCGATGCAGGTTGAGGTGCTACGCCTCATCTCACGGAACCCTCTTTCACCTTGCGACCTTGCACGATGCTCACCTGGCAACCTCTGAAACTTCAGATCAAGGCACTTTTGATGTAGGCCTCCCAGAGCTCAGACGAAGGGGACAGGCACTCCTTCACGACATTGATTCCCAGGTGCAGCGACCACCACTCAGGATGTTGATTACGGGCCGCCTCTGAAATCCTCTGCCATGGTTTTTCACGTCCGTCAGATATTCCCAGAAATGCATCTTCCAGAACTCCAATGATGGGTGTGCCAGCCGCCACCGGTACTGAAAGCTGCAGCTGGGACTGACCAATGGTCAAACATGGATGTAGTTTCATGGAGTCTTGCTTCCGGGCCCAGGTTAAGAGCTTTCCAAGCTTCACCTCTGATGGAAGACTGGTCTGGTAGGTCTCTGACGTCAAAAAGCCGTCAAAAAGACTGGTCAGTGGTCGCCTGCGCCTCCTTTTTGCGCGCAGCCTTTGGCACAAAAGGGCAGCCAGAGTAGAACCCACTGAAAAAGCCTGAGGCATTGCAACCCGTTGGCCTCCAGCTGCCACAAATCATCAAGCCAGGAACAGTTTATTCTCAAAAATGCACTGTCTTCTTCATTGCTATCCATGTTTGAGTCACACAGCGACACGGGCCTGAGAATTGTCTAGAACTTGAGGAGCGTGTCGAGCAGCTCGGGCCGCTTGGAATTTTTGTCAAGCGGATCGATCGTGCGTCCCATGGTAGTTGCTGAGGCGAGAGGGCCATGGCAATGGCCCAACCGTTTGTAGAAGGGCACAAGGGCACCATTCCTGTGATGTATAAAGTAAGACTAAGCACTGTTTCATCCGATCTACAAAAGTTCTAGATGAATGACTTCTGGAAATCAAGGCATAAGAAATGCTGCCACCAAACACATCAGAAAAATTGTGGGCGCAGCGAGCCACTCAATTGCAAAGTTTATATAAGCGAAGGAGTCAGAAACGAACATGATCAAAATGTTTACTGTATGACCTTCCAAACAAAAGAACTTCCAAAGCGCTTGTCCAGAGGCATTGTTGTACAACAGCTTAAATACCTGGTACTGACAAGGAAAATCAAAGACTGACATCCCTCGAGAGTCCCTTTCCCTCGGATCTGTCCCGCCTGATTGAGGCCAGGTCTCTCCATGACTTTCTCCAGGCCATGAGCCACCTGCGCGCAAGAACATCTTGTGGGGAGAGAAATCGGAGAGAATGTGGAAGATACCTTCGGAATGTTTCAGCAACGTGCATGAGGCGCAGCGTGAAGCGGTGTCGGACTTTCTCAAGCGCTCTTGGACTTCATTTGTGAGATGGACAGAAGCCGCCGCAAGAAACCGCTCCAAAGGTCGCCTTAGACCAAGCTGTAAGTTTCACGAATCTCATCAGAAAAGAGTATATGTTGTTCTCCGCTGGGAAATCTTCACAAAACAGATGCATGCCAAAATGTCTCTCTTTGCCGCATTGACACCGGCCGAAAGTTTCAAACCAGCAGGTGGAGAGGAGAAGTTCAGTGGCAATCCGTCATGAACCACCACTCTGGTATCCGGAAAGCACAGAGTCATGGCCTGTGTTGCGAAACAACAAACTTCTCTTACAACAAAGACTAAAGAGTGCTGCAGCACTTGGACACTGCCTCTCGGACGTCGAGTAGGTGGACATTAACACCTTTCCAGAAGCGCCCAACATAGGTGTCCACTAAAAATTTACAACTGTGTGTGTGTGTGTCTTTTCCGGCCTTCTTCCACGCATAGCAGCCTAATTTCAGCCGACTCGTGGATGAAGGAGCTTTTGTGGCAAGGGCGCACCTGACTCAGGTAGTGCAAGCATAAATGTCGAGCCATGGACCATGTGAGTCACCCAACGCGATGCCGTCAAATTTGTGGTAATTGAGTGTTTCCGGACAGCTGCAGCACATCTTGACAAGTCTCATCTTGGATGCATCTTGCAGGGCCTCCCCATCTTCTGGTAGAGAGAAAGATTCAAATCCAGAGGCAGAGCGCTCGATTCTCAGCACTACGTCCTTCGACAGGTCTGCTAACAACTTAACAAATAAACGACCGTCCTGTCCTTCTGCTTTCTCTCCACATGGATGCGTGCTTTGGTACAACCTCCTTGCTGCAACATAGTTGCAGAGAAAAAAGTGCTTGTCGGCTGTTCTTCAAGTTGCAAGTTGCACAGCAACACAGTCATCTCCAGAGCTGCTGAAACTCAAAAGGAGCTTTAGCTCAGATGCTTTCCTGGAAGAGCATACGAATGTGGACCAGAGAAGCTAACCTCAATCGAGTTGCGAAGAGAAGCAATGCATCGAGACACATTCCAGAACAGAAAGCTTCCAGGTCTCGCGACTGCTGACAAGTGTGCCATTGAGAGCTGCGAGCATAAGGCAGAAATGACTCCTAAGGACTTCAGAAAGCAAATTCAAAACCATGTCAAAACGCACAGAAAACAATATAGCTGTGAAGCCTCAACACTGACCTAGAGTCTCCAGTGTATCCACAATGTCACACAAATGGTATCAAGTGTGGCTCAGCCGCAGCAGAGTGATTCTGATTCTCCAAGGGGCGAAGTGCAGCAGCAGAGCAAGGAGAGCATTCTTCACCTCATGTCAAGGAGCAACACTGGTATTCAGGCGTCAAACACCAGTAATTCTGGCACGTGCTCTTGGGAACCCTGATGAAGGAGTATGTAACAGCATAAATATATTAGATGCCTCGGCCAATCACTAAGGTAGAGGGAAATATGGAGTAGTGCAGTCTTACACCAACTCATCTCTTCTTCTCCACACTGTGGCACCGGCAAAGTCGCTCTGCAAAGCGCTCCCGAGCCTCGTGCAAGGCATTGCGACGAACGGCTTTGCATCGACGCTTCCGTGTCGGCGACGTGTTCCGCCTGCTCGAGGTCGTCGCGTGCCTCACCCGGGCCGTAGATGTCCGCACCAATCTGAAGATCGGTCTTTGACTTGAAGTCGATTTCATCCAAACTTCGGACAGTACGGGCCTGGAAGGTACAACGGTTGAAGTCCTGGCAAAATGCCAACAGTTCTGTGACGAGACCAGACAAACGAAAGAAGTCGTTGAAAACAGCTCCTTGAGACATTGCGGGTCCACGGCGGAGGCGCTGGCAGCGGCTTGGCCCGGCTGTGCTGCCTGAAAGAGGCTTCGCGCCTCCAGCGGAGAAAAGAAGGCCTTCTTTTGTTTCTTTTCTCTTCTAAGAAGGCCGGGGGGAGGGCCGTAAGAGGTAGCTAATAGGTTAAGTATTCTAGGACGCAGGATAGCTCACGCACTATTCATGTGGTTCCTAGATTTTAGGGAAACTTAACAAGTCAGAAAACCGTCCAAAAGGTCATGCTCCGTGACTTTCAGCTTGACACAAAACCAAACCCTTACACGTTGATTGGGTATCTCAATGTATCTCATCTACTTCTTGTGCTACATGTCTCTGTTGTTCAAGTCCGTGGAACATCTGGCCTCATCCTGCAAAGCAGATTGCAAATTTCGATGCCTTGATTCAGCAAAGGCTCGCAGTCGCCTCGGCGTCGCAGCAGAACACACGAATCTTCTTGAGACAAGTGACAGGGAATGAGAATCACATGACACATAAATGCAGGTTCCGAAAGGGTCAAACAAAGGGTTGCACGTGCAACATGTGCTGAATGTATCTGAATATTGTCTAATGCTACGACATGATATTTCGGTGGCCATTATATAAAGAGCGGCAAGCCAGAGAGCTTTCACACATTCCACCGCTACAATCTCTCCTCAACTTGCAAAGCAAGTTGCGAAGGACCTTGTTGGGCACTGTTTCGACGGCAACAAACGGCCATGGAATGGAATTGTCGTTTCACTGCACAGATCGATGATTTGTGGGAGTGTGGTCAATTCTGATGTACTTAATGAATTAAATGTATCACAAATGTCTGCCAGCTGTTTAGAACTCCCATGTGCGACATGCCTGACTATTATGTGACTATGTGTGTGTTCAAGAAGATTTCACCATCCAGATTTACTTACCAATCACCAAGCATCTTTGGCTTTGAACAGCTGGAAATGTCATCAGATATAGATACTGACAAAGAACTTGCACACATTGCAATAAAATGACAGATTCCAAAGAAACTTTGCAAGCACCATCCCACTCAGTTCGTTTGGCTTCCCATGAAGCGGGGGAGGTGAGCACATCAAAGTCGTCGTCTATCAGCGGCTGCATCAAGTGGATCTTCTGCACACCAGCTCGACCACTCTTGTCAAGACTGGCCCTACATGTGGCCATGTACCTGCGCAGGAAAGGCCCACTGAATTGCAAGTTCCGGTGATCATGCTTGGCTCACCCTTGTGCATCTGCATCAAAGAACGTCTTGATTTGGTAGCGCCGCTGTAAGGCCTGCGGACATGGATTAGCAACCCGGCAACCCAAATGACACTCCATTGGACATGCAGAAATGCCAAGCTCGCAAGAGGCTGTAGGCCTCGAGTGCACCAGCACCTAGCCGTGCTCTTGGGCCATCGTCGGCCGCAGGGTGCAACCGTCTGCCTAGGCCAACCACCAGCACCTCCAAGGGGGCAACAGACTTGTGAAGTCGTTGAAACTATATGCAGAATCGTGTCTAGTGAGTCTAGTGCCCGGAGGTCCTGGTTCGTTTTTCCAGTTAGTGAGCACTCATGAAGAAACAAATGACTTCGTTACTTGTTTCATTTCACTAGTGACGACTTCTTCGCATTCGTCGTGCCTCTGGTGCTCCAATGGCCTCAGGTCCTGGAGGTGCCCAGAGTCCCTGGCGTAAAGACACGGGTCTCGTGACGGCGGATTCCCTGCTTCAGCACTCGTGTTCTGGTCCGATTCTGTGAAGGCACGGGTCTCTTTTTTTCAGGATCAGTAGGATCAGGAAGCAAAAGCAAAGGCAAATGTGTGTCACATCACATCTCAACGTCGTCAGATCACCATGCGGTCTCGCAATGGGGCTGGTGGTCGGACAGGGTCATCTGGATCCTCCACCAATGACCGTAACTTCGTCTGATCTATTGGTTTTGAAATTCTGATGATGTGCAATGTACAAACCTTCGCACAAAAAGACTTCCAGTGCAGTGTGAACAGTGTGAACTTGGTCTTGCAGAATTCATATCTGCGGTCCTCATATCTGCTCAGCTCGGGCACGATACGTTTCTCCGGACGCTCAGAGATGTCAGGCGAGGTGTCAAGCTGAGCGAAGAGAGAGAGCTCACAAAGCTGTGACGGACAGGAAAAAACATTGAACCAATGAACCAACAAAAAAAGTATGGGTTTGTTGTTTATTTGGAGTGACCAACTACGGTTGTCCTTGAGGCATGCTTGGAATCAAAATGAACACATCGCTCATTTGAGACATGCCTCGAGGCCGGACGGCAAGGCACCCACTCGGCCTCAATATGCGGGACACTTCCAGCAAACTCATAATTTATGTTTTTTCTTGATTTCTTGATAACATGTTTAATTCTTCTATGTTCTTACTTCTTACTTGTAGCTTCTTGCGCCTAGTAGCGATGCCCTTTGTTCCTAGTAGCTTCTTGTTACTAGCAGTAGTGCCAGGAGCTACTAGAAGCGTCCTTGCTACTAGTAGCGAGGCAACAAGATCCAGACCAAGGCCCCTTGATTCCCTTGATCTCAATCTCCAGCCAACTGCCAAAATGAAGGATGCTCCGAAGGAGCCTGAAGGGGGGAAGTTGGAAACCAATATATAAAGTACAAAAAGAAACAGTGATTTCCTGTTAGATCATGGAGCTCTGCCACGGAACCACTGCAATAACATGGAACTACTGCAATCGCCACCTGATTTCCGCGGCAGGGCACTAGAACTGCTGCTGCCACCTCACAAGAACTGTGAAATCCGCCTCAAAGTAGATTCATTCCCTCAGGATATATATTCTGCCGAAATTGATACAACAACCAATAGCTGAAACCACTAGCAAACCACACAATCTTTCAACGTGGCTTCTGGGGCCGTTCTGTCTTATGACCTGCCTAGGAACTTGCCTTCCATTTCTTTAGCCCGCTCTGCCCTCCTACTACTTAATTTAGTAGGTGCATACTTAATTAAGCAAGAGAGCAAGCTCCTAGCTACTTAAGCTACTGCCTGGGACGCAGGATGGCTCACGCTTCTTCAAGGAAGCTCCCCTGCCTGAGGGCGGGGGAAGTTTCCTTGAAGAAGCGCTAGCACCAATGATTTGGTTCCTAGATCTTTAGGGAAAAGTTAACAAATTAAGACTGTTCTTGCTTTACACACGTAGTGGCGTTTCGAGCGGAACGCCGTGCCTGGCGTCCATCCAGGCACCTGTGGTGGCACTGGGCGTGGCAGCAACACCTAGCTGAGCAAAACAAGCAACATCCAAAGCACAACGTTCCTTCATTCCATTTCCAAGTCATTCGACTCGAAGCTCCACAAATGACGAAGTAAGCAAAACAAACAAGTTCAAGGTATGAGACAATGCACTTCGTGCAAACAAAGACATTGCACTCAATGTGCTCAACAATGTGTTTGAGGGTGCTCCTACTTTTGTGCACCTGCCATGCACCTCCAGCTTCCAGCGACATGAACCTGGTGCAAGACCCGTCAATGAAGTTGCTCAGCTTGAAGACTGGGATGAAGAACCGGTGAAAATCCATGGGGTCAGAAACTGCGAAGTTGTGCAGGGACCACTAGGAGCGTGTGTTGTATGTCTTTCCCTAGGATCAAGTATATACTCGCTGAAGCTGCTCTAGCTAGTAGCAGTTAGTGTGCTTCGCGGTTTTCTTGAGAACCACATGTCACACCTGCGCAGCCCGCGCACTGCGGCCAAAGCGTGGACACTCTTTGAGCCCGAAGACAAAATCAATTTCAGACACAAATCGGCAAAGCTGGAGTCTCAGGCAAAGCCTGCAAGAAGCCAAAAAGTATTTAGGCGCGTCTTGAAAGGTGACTATGATTCTCCTGCAGTGACGTAATGCAACCCACACACCACTGTAGTTGGTAGAGCATCTCCACCACTGACCTCAAGCAAAAACAGCATCCAAGGCACTGTTGAGATTCCTGTCTTGAATTCAGACTGCAGCATCAGATCACAGCATCATGCTGCAAAAACTTAGATATCGCTGGGGAGATGAACCCAATGCGCCACCGCTCTCTGGGTTGCGCCTTAGTGGCATTGTGGAATAGATCATGAGAGAGGAGGTGAGTGAAAGTGCGACAAAAGGCTGCAAGTTAGACTTCTGTCATTTCAAAGTTCCACGGCCAGTCCTTCAGCAATTGTGGGTCATCCACTGTCTCCATTGCTCCTAAGTTCTCAAACATGTCATTCAACATTGGCCGAGGAAGCTGAGTCTGGATCCTGTGGAGCAGAGTTGGCTCACGAAGCCAAGCGCAAACAAAGATAGGTTGATTTTTTGTTTGGGGAGATTTGTGGTTCATGTATGGATTACATGTATGTGCTGCTTTTTTTGAGCTGCGGTTCCTTCTCCTGTCAGGCTGAGTTCTTTTGCACCTGGACGCATCATTGCACTCACAGTTCCTGACAGTTCCTGTCCATGGGTTCTGCTTCCCAACTTGAGACATGCATAGCAACGTACAAACAAAAGCTTCTGGCTCCGAAGACAAATGAAAACCCTGCCGTGTATGCCAGCTTCGCAGCCGCAGCTCTCTTCCAGCGATTCACCTACTCGCTTCCAAGTCTGCTGTTGCTTGGAACGCTAGCAGCCTAGCCAGCAATGGAAAATCTCTGAGATGGACGGTCTACATTAGCAGAGCATCCGTTAAGCGCAAAATGTGCATATGAATTTTGTCTGTTCAAAGAAGCGGACATGAGGGTTGTGTTATTCTGGAGGGTCCATTTCCTGATCAAACCAGGATCCAACTCTTCTGTGCGCACACCACATGTGAGCGAGTTGTTGCATAGACACTTCTCCGGAGATGGAACCCCCCAGTGCATGAATGCCTCCATCAAATGCTTCACACAGACAAACCTACCGGCGTGGTATCCTCAGCAATCAAGGCACACTGCTCAAACCATAACACAGAGTCTGTTCAAATCTCAATCCAAGGAACTGCGAATGTCTGAACACTCGGGCTTGCTTCTCCTACAAGTTGAAAGGTATTGTAATAGAATGGATAAAGTCGGATAGACGAAAGTCAGCAAAGATATGCAGCTCAACATCTCCGTCTCCTGCACTCGATTCCTCAGAAGGCTTCGCCTCTGGAGATGCAGCAGCAACATCTTCCTAAGGTCAACGGTCAACGGCAGGAAATCAAATATATATATATATGTATATTATATATATATAGTGTGTGTGTGTTTTTGGAAGCAACTAGAATCTGCAGAAATGTTTGGATGTAGCTTTCCAATCTCAAGCTCCCTCTCCCTCTCTCCCATGCTCGCTGTCTTGTGCTCGCTCTCTCTCTCTCTCTCTTTCTCTCTCTCTCTCTCTCTCTCTATGCAAGGACATACGCTTTCCAGGCAATGGACTTGCTCCGATTTCTTGGTGTTAATTTCCTCGTCTTGCAGCAAACCAGAACAGCTGCGCACTGCATGCTTAAAGCTTTACGGCATCTCTATCAACTGCTCAAGTCAAAGAACTGTCAAAGTTCCAGAACAATCTGACGTCAATCTAAGGCGAGCAACCTTCTTTTGATGGCTTGTTTCCCTTGGCTGCGGGGGGTGATTCGTTGACCCAAAGAAGGCAAGCCGGCTGAAGCAAGGGCACACACACAGAAGTGGCCTTGTTTGCACCACACGCATGCTCATGCTATGTCATCCTGCTCTGGTCTACCCTCGATTCCGTTGGCTTTTCCAGGGCTTCAATTGGTTCTAGTCTTCAACAAGGCTCCAGGAGGCCCAAAACTCCGGTGGACGCGAAGACTTGGCTTCTTGAAGTTCAGCACGTTGGAGCTCTCGATGGATCTCCAAGACTTCACTTCCTCGTAGCGCTGCTGACTACCCCATTACAGTGTTTGTCTTGGAGTTAAGTGCCTTTTGCCCTTTTCTACTAACAGAACTTTTTGACAAGAGAAAAAAGAAAAGACCTTCTCCAAGACTACTGCAAACACCTGGGGCCGTCCAGCCTTGGCCGTCCAGGCTTTGCGTGGCAGATACCACCTGGCATTTGCACTCTGGAACAACTTTGTGATGTGGAAGCCAAGAGCAAAAACGGCTGAGCGGAAGCCATTCAAGCGTTTATGTCAGTTCTGCGTCGCAGAAGGCGACAGAACTGCCCTGTCCCGCCTCTGCTGGCACATCAAGAAGGCCAAACTCGGTGGTTGTGGAAAGTTCCATTGCATGATCATAGAAGCTTTGCGCAGCAGCACCTGGGCTAGCTTTGATCAGGTCCTTCTGCCAAAAGCCAGGTTCATGAAGATTCATCTATCTTCAACAAGAGCGTCATCCCATCCCATTGGGGTCGTCTCCCGTTTGAGCTGCTAACCCGTTTCCCAAAACCGACGGGTCACGGCCCAGAGCTGCAGCCGCTGGGTAGGCGAGGGAAGCTTCACGGAACTTCTTCGAGTTCACCACCAAAGCATCAGACTCTGCAAGAGCCCTGTCAACTGCGGGTATCTTGTTTGTGTGTTTTTAAGGACGTATTAGTATTGTTTTTAAGGCAGGGGGGTAGGCCGCGGATAGAGGAAGAGGTAGCTAGTAGCTTCAGTAAGCTACTAGCTAGGACACAGGAAAACTCTCGCTTCTTCAAGGAAGTTCCCCCTCGCGGAGCTTCCTTGAAGAAGTGGTCGCACTAATGATGTGGTTCCTAGATTTTAGGGAAACTTTTGAATATTCTGTCATGAAGCAATGAAAGCAAGTGTGGAAAACGTGCATTGAAGTCTGACATCGGTGCATGATTCATTTCAGGAAGCTAATGAAGATGCTCGCTCCTCATCTCTCCACGTGTGCGCCAAACCAACCACAAAGCTGCTTCGCAGCTCCAGCTGTTTTGCTCCAGCTGGATCGTCAAAGGAATTTCCTCAATTCGCTTGGCGTGTTCCAAGCAGGCAAAGACCTGACGAATTGTTTGTGCACATTCACCAATATTAGTATACAAAATATGTATTATATATAACTGATAAAGGAAAATCAAAGTAACCAAAGACTTTTTCAGTCAACCAGGCTAGAAGAGAGGCAAGAGCAATAATCCACTTCAAAAAGCCTTCCTGTATGGCTGCTTGAAAGAAGTATGAGTAGCTATTGCTACCAGACAACAAGGTACTATGGCACAAACAATTGAAGCCAAGTAGCCCTCCGATTAATCGTTACCTTCACATAGTACACGAACGCTCCAGAAACCAGAAAATACATCTCCTTTGCCTCCTTACTCTGGTGAAACACTCTGTCTTTCTTTGCATAGATTATATTGGATAGTGCTGTTGCACATATCTGAGAAATGGCTGGAGAAGCTGTCGCCGAGTATTGAGCAAAAACCTTGGCGCAACCCACGAGAGGCAAGCTTTCGGCCCACGGTTCTGTCGGACTAGGCTTGAATGCTGTGCACATGAACTGTTACCAGTGTCAATTTGCCAGGAAGAAAGAACGCCCAAGCAAGGTGTATGTATATAAATATTCTTTCGATACGTTCATGTCCTGTGTCTGGCATTGGTGCCAATAGAACACTTTGCTCCAGCATTTTCCCGGAGCTGTTCAAACATGTTTGTGCAGATACTCCTTGCAAGATGACCAGGCGATTCAATTCTTCGACATCTCAGCAGCATAGTTTGGGAAGACGAGAGTTCCTGGCAGCCCCATCTGGCTGCATCCTACGGAGTCCTCTCAAACCGCGGCATCTATGCTACATGGCAGCCACGCCTCGGGCTATATCTCGGGCTACGGGCACCTTTTCTCTAGATGTTCTTGCATAAGTATTCATCTATCTCGGTCATGTATCATATCAATACATAGCCATGGCAATACCATCCACCATCTCTATAAGACGTAAAAATCTCTCCATTCTGTCCATTGACTTGTCGGTTTACCAAGAAACTGGATGTTGGTTCAGCGTGTGGGAGTGAATCTCCCTTTGGAGCTCCCAATGTAGAGGACCAGACAAGAGCTGAAGGTAGTGAACCTTCGAATGATGTGTTCTCCTGTGTCGCAACTCAAGAACATAATCCACATACCTCACAGGGGCATTGCCAACTGCACTGTCCAAACCCAAATTGATGAAAATCGCTTGACCAAACAAAAAGTTGAGTGTTTGCTCCCAAACATTGGAATTTGATCTAGGCAACCAACGGACTGAAAAAGGCAATTTGAAGAATGCACCTCAAGATTCTGCTAGACAGGTTCCGCGAAACTGCATTCTCTTTGAGGAACTTCTTCAGAAGGAAGTTCTGGGATGTGTTGTAGCGTGTGAGTGACCACACCTCAAGTTGCAAGGGGTTGCCGCAAACAATCAAGACCTTAGCACTCTCACTAACTCCGAGACACGACCTTGGAGAAAAGCACACCCTTCTGTGCCAAGCGTCTGCATTCATAATCGTAGTGATACCTGACTCACATTTACACTGACAAGATTCTGTACTTGTGTACTGCCCTGAGAGGAATCTCCCTGGCACAGGTTGAACTGTGATAAAGTGTGGCCGAGAGGCTACTGACAAAGCAGGTGCCCAGAACCAGCCCATACACGAGGACGAATACATAGTATGCACGCTCAATCCTCGGCAACAAAATCCTGCAGATTCCATAGAATGCCACACATTCAGCTCTGAGCAGGGCGCCGGCATCTAACTTGAATCCTCAGGACAAACGATTTACAGTACCAATCGATTTCTTCACGAGGCCAAGAGCGGTCACAGCGATTGTCAAAGGCGTTGCTGCAAAGTCGCAACGAGGCTCCAGGTGTAAACTGTGCCAAGGACCATTGAATCGAAACCTAGGTCTCCAGTCTGTAGGTTTTCGCTCCATGTAGCAACATTCCACATGCTGAAAAGGTAGCAGTTTCGCCAAGAAGCCATATACTGCACTGACATCTCGGCATCCTGAATCCCTTCTCTAGGCACCCAACAATCTGCCTCGGAAAACATCATGCAAAAGCAAAGAAACGAAAAACTTCTGCTGTCTCACCTCCGCATCGTGGCCGGTGGTGCCGATCAAGAACCAAAGGCAAGCGATGTAGTGATTGGAAAGCAAAATCACCTAAAGAAGCCATCCAACGCTAAGCATTGCTTGGCAGCCAAAAATGCTTGAAACACAGTCCAAGGACTTCATATAAAAATGTTTTTCTTGTCTTCTTCAGCGATGTGAAACTTGCAGCTGTACAGTGTCATGCCGCTGCCCAGACACCGCGAGGTTCCGCACAACAGCCAGCATTAAAGTCACCCACTCGGAATCCTTACAAATCCATTTCTCGCAAATCAAGGAATAGGTTTGGAGAAATGCATCGTCCAACTGTTGCCAAGTCTCAATGAGACTCTGCAGAGCGAAAAGGAGCTGCCTGAAACGGAGTCGACCAAAATGAACTACAATGCAAGCGAACTTGTCTTTTCTTGCCTGGGGGGTAGGCCGCTGAGAGGAAGAGGTAGCTAGTAGCTACTTAAGCTACTACCTACTGGACGCAGGATAGCTCACGCTTCTTCAAGGAAGCTCCTCGCCTGAGGGCAGGGGGAAGCTTCCTTGAAGAAGCACTCGCACTAATGATTTGGTTCCTGGATTCTTAGGAAAACTGAACCCTGTTTCTAACTGCTAACATTGGCAACATTAGTTATCAGACCAACACAATGGAACTTTCAGACCTTGCCTCAGCTTGGCCAAACGTACCAAGCGTAGCAAGCGGATAATTCGCATAAACCTTGCAATCCTGCACCAAAGATTTTGTGAACATGCGCGTCAAAGGGTGGGACAAGCTTGCAAAACGGTCTTGCAAAACTCGACCGAAGCCAACCCAAAGCTTGAACCATAGACTGAAGCTTCAAGCTGGACCCAACGAGATGAAGTGACTATCCTTCCAGATCTGGCAGCACCAGCTGCTGTACTATCAGGATTGAACCTCAGCTTTGATCTGGGCAAGGCCACAACAGGCGATACCAGGCGGGGATATGGCATCGCTACTAGTAACAAGTGCATCGCTACAAGGGCATCGGCATCCCTACTAGTAACATGTTTCTTGAAGCCACTTTGGCTTCCTCATACCAGCATGCTAGAAACGCTCATCGAAAGCTGCCTATCTCTAGGTGTTCAGCTTCTTCAAAAGGGATGTCCGAAAGGCTTTAAGTTCTGCGTAGCTGCTGGGTTACATGCAGCAAATGCTGCGTTCTGTTGTGCAAATGCTACACGGCTGCTGAAAGGGACCTTGCCCTCACTTCACCTGAGCTTAAGATCTCTCCCCTCCTATAGCCTGGCCGCAAGTTCGCCATGTAGGCATAAACATCCAGGCTGATCAAGAGCACATCAAAAATCAACCATGACCGAGCCTTGGACAGAGATCGCATCTCTAAAGTCTTTTTCCTATCTCTTCGTGTGTTTTCAGGCTTTGGGGGTGGAAGTGCAACTAAGAAAGCTTACTTCACGTCTGGTGCCAAGAACAAAGACAAGGAGTTTGGTAGGACTTTACAACTCTTGTTTACCTGATGCGCAAGCAGAAATGCTTTGTCGCTTCTCACAGCAAAGCAGCATAAGCACGGACGATGTGCCAACGGCGCATATCAATCTCTCCTTTCTCGGAGTATATGGCAGTGTTCATATTGACGAAAATGTCCAGGAACCAGTAGAAGGATGTGAGTCCCTGTACCCAAGCGAAGGCTGCGCTTGGATCTTGCGGGAAGACCTCCATCGGCACCCACAAAGTGTCAAAACCTAGGACCTTAGTTTGTTTCAGGTGAAGCGCAATACCATGCAAACAAGTCAAGCCTTTTGGCTCCAGACCAAAACACCCACCAATTGCCAGATAATGACCAAGTGCACCTGGAAAGGGACAAGTGATGCAGTTCTACCACATGTTCGCTTTGGGTCTCGAATCCTTTCATTTGTCGCTCTGTTCGCTTTGGCGTCATGGAAGAAACAAACTCATGGAACTGCCTCAGGTCGAAAGACTCCGTTGGCGTAGCATAGACCGCCAGGTTTGTCTAATCCATGTCGGTTCTCTTCATTCTCCAGGGATGACTTGCGTGCGAGAATCACACTGGGTGCTTGCCTTCCTGGGGTCAAGGTGAAATTCAACGGGATGGAGAAGAGTACTCTCACATTAGAACATCAAGACATGGAAGATTCTTATTTGAGTTGGTTTCGGCTGTACATATATATATATATATGTAACTAGTGTCATATGCAGATCTGTGTAAACTCGTAGTGACGAAACATCAATGGTCCCAGCTTGAATTCCGAAGCAAACCCTTTTGAGAATCTTTGTGCACACCGCTGCACTGCGCAAGTTCAAGTCTCAGTTTCCTGAGCAAATATTTGTGTCCCAACTCAAACGGTTCGTTTCATAGTTTCAGGGGAAACAACAGGTATCTCGATCATGTTTAGGAGGAAGCTGACAATGGACTAGCTTGGTATTCGATCGCGTCTCTATGGAAGGAAAAGCAGCTCGCCCAGTCGGCCAGGAAACCCCACCTTTACAGACCTTGGGTGCAGTAGAGCAACCTGTGTCTTCTTCCCATTCAGGAAAAATCTCCAAGGTTGTCTTTTTCCATAAAGAAGACGTCCTTCCAACCATATCAGCATCCTGCAGTCGGTGAAGCAGAGCGAAACAATGTAGTGTCAAAAAGATGAATCACCAAATTGGCATGAACTATTTTGGGCTCGCTTCCATCTCTGCATATTTTGAGACTTCTTCCTTGTCTTTGTCATCTTCTCCGCCATCTTTTTCACCCTCCTCTGCAAGCTGACGCAGAGCCTGGGCGCTGACATACAACAAGTCCCAGAACATGCGAGATCAAAACAAAGCTGTCAAAGTCAATGAAGTTAAAGTACAAAGTCAGGAAGGAGTTGAACAACAACAGCACCTTTGTGCCCAGTGTCCTCCTTTGTGGACTCATCAAAGAGACCGTCCATGCTCATGGTCATCGTCTGCTTGCGACTCGCCCATCGTGTCTGTCGGAGCTCCTGAGATTCACAGCGGCGATTGTTCTTGGTTCGCCCATGTTTTCACGAAATAATTGAGACAAGTAGGTAGAAACAAATACAATCCAAATTGCCATTGGCCATTGGATCACTCGACATGGACTCGACCCTGGCGCCTCTCTCAGCTGACTAAGCTCTTGATCATGCGCTTCTTCAAGCCGCCGCAGCAGATCCCGGAAGTTGGACATCAGCCCCGGTCGGCGCACAAACAGTTGTGGAAACAGTTCCAGAATGGAAACAACCACCGCGACAAGTGTTATTTTTGGTGTTTGTAGCAACATATCGAACTGGTTGGTTTTGTAGAAAAATAATGATTGGATATGGTCCTTCCTGACCGTTTTGGGCATGCGGAAGTCTTTGGGCCAAGACCGTTCCAGCATTTAATTTATTGTCAAAACATGAAGTTCATTCAAAGATACACGAACCCGTCCATATATCACTCGGCCGATGCCAGCTTGCAAATGTCACAACACCGACAAACAACAAAAAACGATCCCAACATGTGTAAAAACCTTTAGTTCAATCGGTGTCCAAATTCCAATGTTCATTCGCATCCAGCAACATACCAAAAAATTATCCAGAAGTTCCTGTGGATCACTCCAAATGACACCAAACCCTTCATGGAATGCCAAACAAAAAACTATTGTCTGGTCTCGTGCGTAATCTGTCCACGGACTGTATTGTGGCAGCATTCTTCTGCTGGCGCAACACAGCAACTGTGCTGACTCTCCTTCAAGCCTGCAACTACAAAAAACACCAAGGCTGCATTCCCCTCTCCTAGCGGCCAACCTCTTTCTTGGACGGTGCAGAAAAATGTTGTATTCAATCCAATCGTGGGAAAAATCTCAATGGACTACCATGGAGGTAGTGTCTTCACAGTAGTGCTGTTGTCCAATAGTTTTCACGTGTGCACATGTGTTCACTTTGGGGAGATGTCCATTCCATGCTCCGGTAGCGCATGTGGGTTCAAAAGAAAAAACACACTGCTCAACATGGCAGCGGGACACTGACGATCCAGGCATTTTTGATTTCGATCTTTTTTTGGTATTGAAGAATTTGCAAGTGTTGGTTGATGATATGCATGACGGTTGGACCGACTTATTCATGTGCTCTTGTGCACCCCGTGCTTAACAAGGATTGTTTGCATGTCCTGTGCGAGCTGGCTCGCCGCTTGTGTCCCTTGTTGCGAAAGCGTGGCAAATTCAAAGAGCATCTGCAAATTTGTGCAATGTGTTTTTTTCCCAGAAGGCAGGGTCTTTGTTTTTTTCTGCTCGATCGAGAGCTGTACTGAAGGTCACACCGAAAAACCCAACCAGATTTCTCAGACCATCAGCGTTCCAGAGGATAAAGTCTGGACCGGCGACTGTTTTGCACGTTGATGGATTGGCCTGGTGTCTTCAAGTTTTGAGTTTGAGCGTTGGCATGCAGACAAGGAAGGCCTTGTTACACCGAGCGATTTTGAAGCGTCTGTATCAAGCTTGAGGTGGCAGGTTTTCTGCGAAGTGGAATCCTTGACTGAAGTTGATGTTCAGGAACATTTTTCTTTTCAGTTGTCCATTCCACCGTTTCTGCAGTTGTGCCTTGTCTCCCCCCAAGCAGTCAAGGCCCAAAAGCATTTTGTTTTTGTCAACCTCAAAGCCAACCTGAGAACCGCTGTACCGCCACAATGTTTCCAGTGTGAACATGTTGGGCACCTTTCCGATCACAGACTGTGTCTTTTGGGCAAAGTTGGCCGTGCTGTTGTCGCGACTGCGCTCTTGTCTGGGCATTTTTGGAGATTGGCGTCCCAGTGGCTTCTGCCGGCAACCCATAGCCTCGGGAAGTGCTGCCAAACAAGAACTGCTTCGGTGAGATCAATGGTGGCGGGTCCTCCTTCTTCTCACTTCCGTCTTGAAACCTTCGCTGATCAGAAAAGACTTGAGAAAGCTTCAGCAGATGGTGAACTTCTTAGAGAAAGCACGTTCCAGAAAAATTGATTCCGGGATTGCTCATTCAATGGCTTCTGTTGACTTGCACAAATGCAATGTCTCTTGAAAGAAGGCACACAAGGCAAGGTTTTGCACTGAGTCTGTTGGACAACATGCTTCACTTGGATTTCTTCTTCGAAGGAAAGCACGATCAAAACGATCGAACGCGCCGTTTTCAAATAGCTAACTTTGGGCCACTGAAGGCCGGCGAAGTCGAGTCTCGAAACCTGCACATGACAGCGGTGGAAATCTGTAACACTCCACCTAAAAAACGGCCTGGAGCAAAGGTCGCCTTTTTCACTTCACCGCTTTCAACGTAGCGGCGTGCTCGGCCTTCAAAGTCGTCCTCCCACTGGATGGAGAGGACTGCCACACTGAATGCAGCAAAACCCCGCTGCTCCTCTTGGTTCCAGCCCATGATGTGGTCAAACACCATGTGGTAGTACCGCTTGCCATAGAGGGAGGTCAAGCGGGTTCGTAGGAACTCCTTCAGCTGGTTATTGGGGAAAATCCCAACTTCCTTCAATTGTCTTGCTCTTGGCTTCTCTTCTGGCTTCAGCCATGAGATCAAAGTCTCATAGTCCCACCAGTCAGCATCAACCGGTGGAATCTCATCATAGGGCATCTCGGCCAGTTCTCTGGTCTTTGGGCACTTCGGGCAAGTTGTTCATCAATGTCAATGTCCACTTCCATAGGGCTTGCTTCATCTCTTTCGGAGGTCGATGGTTTGTACCTCCTTTGATATCCTCCAAGGGGATTGCTCATGAAGTATTCTTCACCACTTTCAGCGTCATCTGAATTTGCCAACAATCTATATTCTTGTAGTCGTCCAAGTTCTGGATTCCAATCTGTCACCCAGCTTCCAGTCCAGGTGATCTCCCATTGGTTGTTTCCATTTCCATCTTGACCTTCTCCTTCAGCTTCTGGCTCGGATTCTCCATCTTCTGGCCACATTCGAGTCTCTGGAGTTGCTTCATGAACTGGTTCACTTGCTTCTTCTTCTGCTCGTTCTCTGTGCGGCAAGGGTTCATAGGTCCTTGGTGCAGGATCCGGATGCCACTCGCCAATGCTTGCTGCCATGCTTGCTCTCATGATCATACCCACTTGGTTCTGGAGATCTTGTTCCCGTTGAAACTCCATAGTAGTCTCCTGTCGTACAAAGCGACTGCACGTTCGAAAGAAAATGGAAATCTTCATTCGAAACCTGTAGCCAATGTAGATGCCAAAGGCGAACACAAAAAGGGGGTGTAGACACAGGCAATCTTGAAGATTATCCACCCTGTCCACCACTCTCCTTCTTCCGTCTGCAGTCTTTCTCCAGTCACTCCTTGTTGCAGTAAAAGCAGAGTCACTGCTCTCACAACATTCGTGGGCATCTTAGTTCCTGAACATCCATGGTCCAGAACCACCATTTGCACCATTTCCTTCTTCACCTCCTTCATCTTCTTTGCAAGCATCTTGTTAGGTAGCCGCGCTCTTTTGGACCGACGCGCTTCGGTACGAAGTGATAAGAACAGATACTACCCACATCAAGTGTCCTATACAAACTATCCATCAAAGTGTACATGTAAACTGTAGAAAAAGTTTAACACGCCGCCTCGACATGAGACGGGCTTTTGAGTCTCATTTTGACTCTCTTGTACACTTGGTTCTGGATACCGCTTCTTCTAAGCGGCCAAAGACAAGGTCATCCAGATTCTATGGCTCGGCTGTGACGAAGGAGCGCATGGAACACTCCAGGGACTTCGTGTGGCATGCACCAGGCATGTGGGGCTCGCAGTCCTATGGGGGCTTTGAGAAGAAGCTCGTTGCCCATCTGCCACTCCTTCCAGGCTCTGTTTGGGATCACCGAACAGTATCCTGCAAAAAAGCTTGTCGGGGGACTGCCGGAGCAAAAGCAGACTTGGTCCATGTCTTGCTGAGCTTCTTCACTGATGAGGAGGTCAATATTTTCCATGTGCGAGTTCAGTGTCGAATGGGTCTGCCCTTTTTGATCCAGACTAGCCCCGTGGTGACTATGACAACGTGACTGCCTGGGATATGAGGCGGCTTGACTGGCTCGCAGGTCATAGGCTGTGCAGGCGGTATTGGTCTCTGCTTCCTTCCTGCCTACTGGACGAATAAAATATCGCTGGTGATCAGGTTATCGGCCGCCTGTGCGAGCTGCCAGCAGCTGCAAACTGTTGATTTGTCCCAAACGGACGTCATTGAAATTTTGGGCTCAACCTTTGCACACTGCTCACAGCTGCAGCAACTCAGCCTTTCCCGAAATTTACGAATCATTGAGCAAGAAGCCTTTCTCAAGTGTACCTCGCTGCAAGAAGTCTGCATCCCACCATCCCTGCTTTACATTGCGCGGCGTGCTTTTGCAGGTTGCACGCAACTTCGAGCAGTTCGTAAAAAAGGGAAGAGCAAGACATGGCGAGGTACATATGCCCGGCTCAATGCCTTTGACAAATGTGAGCAACTAGACAAGCCCAAGTGGCTCCGATTCTTGCCGCCAAATGCCAAAGACCAATGGAGAGAAGACTTTCAAGAAGCCTTACCCTAGGCTGGCAACGCTCTAATAACAGTGGTGGTGCACTTCGATTATGCTTGGCAGGCTTAACAAAGTTCAAGCAGAGTTACCATTTCGTCCTCACCATCTACGATTCAGTGAGCCTACAGGAATGAGAGCCTTAGCTTCTCGTTCCCAAAAGGCGGGTGGTAGAGAATGGCAATGGAAGGCCTTAGTTACTCTCTGCGGCTGCCATGCCATGGCCAATTTTGTACAAAGAGGCACAAGCACCATGCTAGGATAGGTCCACGGTTTCACCTGTTTCACACGGGCCTTGCACGTAACAGGAGGATGTTTTCACGATGGCACCTCTCTTTCTTTCAGGAACAGAACATACCTCTTTGGCACTCCTTGGGTGCCAAGGGGTGCAAAGGAGACCTCCCTTCGGGGGGGAATGCAGCACCCGAGAAGGGACTTTTCCGCGGCATGCTTGGCATTGCAACAACTGAATTCCTTGGGCAAGAATCAGACCTGCTGACAATCAGAGCAGCTCCTGCAAAGCACCCAGTTACCACGGTTTGCCAATCGATGCAGTGGCCGTTTGGTCACAGTTTTGAGGGTGGAGCGAAGCCCCTTTGATTGGCTTCGTTGCACTCCGCTCGTGCGCTGACCCTTCTGACAGACTTTCGTAGCGAATTCAGGCCCATAGATAGTTTACAGCCAACTTTTCTCACCTGTCTCACCTTCGTACAGAGGAAACACTTTTAGATAAGGGGGAT